ATGTTAATTATTATAATATTTTAATATTTAATAAGAATTTATTGTGATTAGACGGACAAGATTTAATATATATTAATTAGATTTATCAATACTCATATAGCCAGTAATCGATCTTTGATCTAAACATCGACGTTTTATCAACTGTTCAAACTACACAGCTTCGACAGGATGGTTTCGAATGAAATGTAAGTAAACAATTTCTGGAAATGCTGGTAAAACTTGGAGAAACTTTGGTCAAAATTTAGGTTCTAACCAGAAACTTCCATACTAACCTTTGTAAATACTATGATGTGTTAAGTCGTGATTACCACCTGCTATAAAGATTCAAATGCACGAACGAACCTATCGATAGATACAAAATCAAACATGGCGTCCGTTCAAATCTTTATATAAATTTACAGTTTTATAGCGATACGTAATTAGCGAACCATTTTGATGTTATATCTTGTCACCTATGAGGTTCTGGTAATTCATTATGTCTGCCGGTACAAATTGCAGTTCACAGTAGCCGCGCGGTGTGGAGAGTGGGACCGTGGGTTCGAATCCCACTCAAGGCATGGATGTTTACGTACGTGTTTCTGTGTTGTGCTGTCCTGTATAAATAGAGGCCTTGTGACGGGTTGATCACTCGTCCAAGGAGCCCTACAAAATATGTAAATAGATCAATAAACCTCCCATGTTTGAGGAGGTCAAGGACTGTAGAGCCCCTGATAATGACGATCATATTCAATTCAATTCATATATTAAAGTGCTTGACAACAGCCAAAAAGGCCAATAACAGCCAAGCACTAACAACAATACAAACATTACAATACAAAAGCAAACAAACAAAGAACTGAAAATATAACTGTACAATATTGATTTATTGCAAAATAAGTCATAAGTAAAAAACTAAATGCTATAGATAAGTAAAATAATAATTATACTAAAAACAGTTTAATATTGGACAGAAAACATACACAATAAAATGTTATACTAAGTAGAATAGAGGATCCAAAAGCCTCCTCCTTAAATGTAACGATAAGAAATTTAATCTAACTAATATATCGTCATAATT